TCAGAATTATTGCAAATGAAATCCATAATGAGACTATAATGAGACTACATGTTTCATGTTAGAAAATGTCTTTTCATGTGGATAGGCAGTGCCAAATACTGATATCAACAAATGAGCCCTTGGAAACATTGGCTGCATCCTCCTTTCATTCTGCTATGATGAAATATTCTATTTTAATTATATTAAATATTCTAGGGTTGCAGATATAGTGATGAGCGTTTAGTATTATAATATTAACAAGCACTTTATTCTTTTAGAGCAACTATAAGGCCATTAAGTAGTAAACACAGTATTTTGATATCAAATTTTCCATATTTTACTGTATCTACATTCCAGGGCACTTGAAGTCCACTTTTTTTTTTTTTTTTTTTAAGAGGGAGAGAGAGAGAGAGAGAGAGAGAAAGAGAGAGAGAGAGTTTTTTTAATATTTATTTTTTAGTTTTCGGCAGACACAACATCTTTGTTTGTATGTGGTGCTGAGGATCGAACCCAGGCCAAACGCATGCCAGGCGAGCGCGCTACCGCTTGAGCCACATCCCCAGCCCCTTGAAGTCCACTTTTCTTTCCCTGTTTTGACCTTTAAAATTTCACTTTGTCTCAGTTTCTCATGTCACAAAACTTGACTGCTCTTTGAGTATTTTCTATTTATTTACAAATGTAAACATTGTTCCTAAGTCACACAAAATGAACACTAAACAGAAGTCACAAAAAAAGTAAAATGAATTTAAAATTGAAAGCATGGAATGTTGGGACAGATATGCACAACTATCTTGGTAATCAATATTAATGAACATCAATTAAATTTCCAGTATGAAACAAATATACTTAGCTTGTGTTTTAAATATACAATAAATTTTTTTAGAAAAGATTACCTAAAATAATTAAAATAATTTTTGCAAACTATTTCCAAGAACAAAAAACAAGAAATACCTCAAATTGCTTTGTGAAATATACATATTTGTTACTCCAAAAATCAGATGAGGACTGCATGATAAACAAAACATATAAAAGCCAACAGCTCACAGGCAAATTAAAACAACAGAGAATTGTACAACACACCTGTTAAAATCCTAAAATCCAAAACATGGATAACATTGAATACACATTAGGTTGTGCAATAAGAAGAAATTTTCTTTTTTGATAGTAGGGATGCAAAATGGTATACCTTCTTTGGAAGGTAGTTTAGCACTTTCTTACAAAACTGAACATACCCTTACCGTAATATCTAGCAATCATGCTTCTTGGTATTTACCAAATTTGTTGAAAATTCATGTCCACAGAAAAATACATGAATGTTTATGGCAGTGGCATTAGTAGTTGCCCAATCTTGAAGCAACCAAGATGACCTTCAACAGAGAAATAAATTGTGGTGCATTCATACAATGGAATATTATTCAGCACTAAAAGGAAATGAGCCATCAAACAATGAAAGACATGGAGGAAATTTAAATGCATATTACTAAGTGAAACAAGCTGATCCTAAATGGGTGCATGTTGTGTGATTCTAGTGTAGGACACTTTGAAAGAGAAAAAAGTATAGAGACAATGAAAAGATCAATGGTTGCCAAAGGTGTAGGGGAGGAAGGAATGAATAGCTAAGCACCGGTAATTTTAGAACAGTGAAAGAATTCTATATGATACTATGATGCACCTGGATACGTGTCATTATACATTTGTCAAAACTCTTAGATGTGCGCAATGGCACATCTTGGGAAGCAGATGGCAGCAGCTTGGGAAGCTGAGGCAGGACGATCACGAATTCACAGCCAGCCTCAGCAAAATTGAGGTGCTAAGCAACTCAGTGAGACCCATCTCTAAATAAAATACAAAATAGGGCTGGGTATATGGTCAGTGGCCAATTGCCCCTGAGCTCAATCCCCAGTACAAAACCAAAACACTCCTAAAATACAACATCAAGAGTAAACTCAATAGATGAATGGATAAAAATAAAATGTGGCATATATACACAACGAAATATTACTCAGCAAGAGAATAAAATCATGGCATTTGCAGGTAAATGGGTGGAGTTAGAGAAGCTGATGCTAAGTAAAGTTAGCCAATCCCAAAGAAACAAATGCTGAATGTTTTCTCTGATATAAGGAGGCTGGTTCATAGTGGTGTAGGGAGCAGGAGCATGGGTGAAATCCATGAACTCTAGATAGGGCATAGATATGAAAAATTGTGCTCTATATGTGTAATAAGATTTGTAATGCATTCTACTCTCATATATAAATTTTAAAAATTAATAAAAAAGCAAAAAAAAAAAAAAAAACAAGAGTAAACCCTAATATAAACTATGAACTTTGGGTTCATTCTCTGTAATAAAGGAACCATTTTGAAGTAGAAGGCTAATGGTAGTGAAGGATATCCGTATGTGTGTGTGTGGAGGGGCGTGAACTTTATGTATTTTCTGTTCATTATCACTGTTAACCTAACACTGTTTTTAAAAAGTCTAAAATGACAAAAAACTTATAAAAGTTAATCGTCCTTGTGAGTACAATAAAAAAATGTCTAAACAAGATATATTAAGAAGTAATAATAGTAATAATATTATGCAAAATGTTTTCTGATGAGTATGGACTTATCCCAGAAATACAACTGTGGTCTAACATTAGAGAATCAATAAATGTACTTCGCTACTTAATGGATTAAAATAAGCAAATCAATTTAATTTATCTAATACATACTGAAAACATTATTGTAAAATTCAACATTTAATTATGAAAAAGGAATAGATGGAGTAGGATCAGAAAATATTTTGGTCAAAAAACATAATTTTGGTCATGTGGTGGAACAAGTTCAAGAGAACATTTTTTTACAAAATGATGACTTTGTTTAAAAATATATTTATGATGAATTCTAAGAGAATATGTATAAAAAATGATGACCATGTGAAGTGATGGGCATGTTAATTAGCTAGATTTTTGTCATTTCATAGTTTACATGTACTATAAAACATAAAATTGCACATAGCAAATATGAACAATGAACTGGGCACTATTCCCACATATAATTATCTATTTAAATGTTTTAATTAAAAATTTGATAGATTATAATTACACAATATTAAAAGTAAGTTACATCATCTAATTCAAAATCACAACAGAAAAATATTTTATCTTTTCCATATAAACAAGAGCTTATAAATTTTCATAATTATTTTTGGTTGAATGCCAAATAATGGAACATTTTTTGAACTGTCAGTGGGAGAATAGATTAATTAAACTCTTCATCATTCTCCTTCATACTGAAAACAATTATATATCTTATCCACATTTATATATCATTCCCAGACTGTTATATATCTTGGAGGCTTGTACATTAGGTGATATAAATGATAAGATTCTACAGTTGGGTGCAGTGGTGCATGCCTCTAATACCAGCAACTCTGGAGGCTGAGGTAGGAACAGCACAAGATTGAGGACAGTCTGGTAAACATAGTGAGACCCTGGCTCAGAAAAAAAAAATGGATTGAGGATGTAGCTTAGTGGTAGCATATCCCTGGGTTCAATCCCCAGTACCAAAATAAATAAATAAAATTATACAATTATACAATATTACTCTTTTTTTGTCTGATTTCCTTCTATAATGAATTTTATATTCTTCTAATATTGCTATGTCAGTAATTATTATATATATATATATTGTTTTTTATATAAAGTTATATATTATTTAATACTATTATATGTATCCGTACTTATTTTTAATTGCAAAATAGTATTTCATTATATTAACATGCCATGATTTTTAAAAATTTATGATTCTATTCTAGGACTTTGGAGTTGGTCTTTTGTTTGGGTAATATTAATTAAATTGCTCAATATTTCTGTATATGTGATTTGGTGGTATCAACTCTCTTTGTCACGTACTTAGAAATGAAATTAATGGATTAGATGATAAGAGAATATTAAAATTTATGGTGTTGATAGTTTTTTGAATGCTGTGCCAATAAGAATACATGATGATTATTTATCTTGAGAACCTTTATATGGTACACCCACCATCTGGAACAAGCATCCTGTTCAAAAGTGTCCAAGGGTATTCATAGGCCAGGCCTTTCCAGAGACCAGAGCAATAATCTGTTATGAACAATGAACTGGGCACTATTCCCACAAAACTGGCTTATTCAATCAATAACCCCACTTTCAGGGTAAAGGGATGTAGCTGTGACATTTGCCCAGAAGAACTTCACAAGTGTTTTGAACCAGTAACTCCTACATCTGGCATATCTATTCTTTCTGAATGAAAGTGTCTGCTGTGATGACCTCAGTCTTAGTCAATCTTCCAAGTTATTTTGGGAAAGATGACTTGTCATTTTAGTTTTTCAGGAACAAGTGGAACCACATTTAGACCATGGATCCTGGACAGAAAGCCTAATGCCATAATAACATGCTGGGTTGTACACATAGGAGGACATTGATTATTTGTGAACAAGAGGGAAAAACTGACACTTCAGATTATTATTCAGAAAGTCTCCACAATCCTTCCTACATCATCTGCATTGGGTGGAGTACACTTCAACTTGATGAGTGGCTTGTCCAACATTTGCTAGAACTCAGTACTTCCTGCCTATGTCACTCCACTAGGAGTTGTTGTTGTTGTTAAATATTCTTGTATGGTTATATTTGATTTTTACCCTCTGGTAGTCCCCATGAGAAGAACATAACCCAAGTAGTCACTGCCCTTTTAGACGTAATCCCCAAATAACACATATGTAGAAGAACTGAATACAACACACAAGCAATAGCCTCAAGTTCAGAGTTTACACCTAGATTAATGCTTGCATCAGCTAAGACTTTCATGAATAAACTGAAACACAACTACTTTGAAACTCTGAGCACAAAAATATTATTGCAGGCTACTGCATTTTCAGATAATTTGTTATGCAGTATTATTGTGGTCACAGCTAAACTTAAAGAACTCATAGGTGAAGGGGAGATAACAGTAAGTGATACCAGTATCCAGTTATGGTAGAAGTGTGAACAGAGCAGTACAGGAACATGATTGAAGACATTGGACAGCGAGGGCATGAAGTAGGTATAAGGATCAGAGAAGGTGTTCTACTAGAGGTAAAACTGGATGTCAGGCTAGAGATGCATCCAGGCTGATGTGTGGGGTCTGCCTGCTCAGGACCAAGGGAGGAAATTAAGTAAGCATGAAACAATAAAAATCGTGGCATTTAAGGAGCTCCAAGCAGTTGAGTTCTGCAGGAATAAAAGTTTATCTATAAGACAATGAGCAGAAAAAAAGGTCAGAGAATAAGACAGATGCTAGATTATAAAGGACCTTATATGACATGAATAGATTTCATACTGTCACTTTTAACAGTGTTGTGCTCCCTGTTGTCAGTTCCTTGTGAGAGGGCAAGCTCTACAGTCTAAAAGTTTAATAAATCAAGTATGATATTAATAGCTAAGGAGTAACTACTGATAAATAACTTCTTAGTATTTCAATATCATATTTTGGAAAGATGGAACGTACGATATATGTGTTTTCAGATGCAGATAATTCCTCAAGTTTCTTATAACTCAGGGAGGATCACAAACTCTCTTCCTCCTTAAAATATAATTTATCCAGTCCTGGAAAATTAAGTTTTGCTTTAGAAATTTGCTTTTTGGAAGAAAGGTCTTTAACTTGTCCACAAATGAACAACTATAGCCTCAAAAAAGTGGCCACTCAGTGTGTATTTACTGATTGAACTAATTTCCTAATCAGAAAGGACTTCAAATATTTGCAAGTTCAAATCCCGACTTCTCCCCGTAAGTATACCTAAGAGCAACTCACTTCCCTTTTTGCCTTGCTTTATATTTTTAAAAAGATGAATTGTAATTTCTTCTTCCTAGGAATGGTGAAAGTGTTTTATAAAATGATACCATAACATGCCTAGTACAGTACCTGGCATCTAGATGGCATTTAATTAATGTTAGCTATTAGTATGATTGTTGTAAAAATCTCCTACTCCATTACTCTTTCTGATGCCCAAGCTTGTGGAAGTTGTAGTCTATGTAACCATAAATAGAGGCACATTTGTCACATCCTGTCAGAAAAGGTTTAATAAAATTTTCGACACAGACATAAGATTAGTTTGATACTCACTTGATTTTTAATATGCTTCAGTTGTGCCACCTCTAAGGAGCTCATTAGCAACCCTGCTTCATTGGTTGCTATAGGCATTGCACTAAGATTATTTTTCTTTTTCTTTCTTTCTTTCTTTTTTTTTTTTTTTTTTTTGCTTCTACTTTAGTCTCTTTTTTGCTCTTTTACACCCTGCATGAAAAAGGGAATTTGTTCTGCTCTTCAAGAATTTTACAATAGTCCTCACCCTCTTTGTTCTCACAGGGAAGTGAATTTGGCCTTATCTCATAGCAAGATAGTGCTTCAGTCCAAATGCTTAAGCTTAATTCACTCATTACTGAGAAATGCTGTACCTGGATGAAGATAATGGAGACCTAATGCATATGCTATGTAGCTTCCCAATAGAGTATCCCTTTTAAAAAGAAATAATTAGATGAATAAATTAGATTTTAAGCACTGATCTACATTTATACTCCAAAGAATATGTAATTAGAAATTTAAGCAGTGGGCCAGGTATCATTAAGTCATTGGAGACATTTCTATTAGAAGCCAATAGTATTGCCAAAATGTTAATTGTCTAAAGCCATTTTAAAATCCTTACATGTAATAAAGTATATATAAGGTTGATTGAGCAAGCCAATTTAGATGAATGTATCAGATAAATAATTCTATACTTATGAAAAATGCATGATATACTCCAATTATTGAGTTAACTTAATATTTCAAAGCCATGGCAAAAAAAAAAAAAAAAATTATGGGGATGGTGTGTCAAGGAGTCATTTACATTAAAGAAAGCATTCTTCTTTGAAAAACTAATTGGTCATCACATCATTATGATCTTGTGATAGGTGATATTATAGGGAAAATAGGCTATGTCCTTTCCCTAGGATTAGAAGAAAACAAGAGCAGTAGATGCTTGCCATGGCATGATGTTGGGGCTGGTGCACTGGAGGACTTAAAGAACTGAAACTTACGTGCTTGCACTTTTGGAGACTGAGAAGTTCAAGATCAAGGTGCCTGCAGATAGGTGTCTGGTAAGGTCTCCTTCACTGGATTGCAGTAGACTCTCCCTGTGTCCTGCCTTGGCTGTCTCTCTGTATGTACTCACTCCTTTCACTCCTCTTATTGTCTTCTTATAAAGACAGTCATCTTATTGGATTAGAGTTCCACCCTTATGACTTCACTTAACTTTGATGACCTTCTTAAAGACCTTTTCTCCAAATATGGTAACACTGAGCACTAGGGCTTCAACCTATGAATTTCAGGTTACACAGTTCAGTCCATAACACCTGGCAATTTGAAATAACCAAATGAATGTAAAGCTTTAATTTTTATTCTCCTAGGAACTTTACATAAAAGAAAAGGTCACTGGAGAAATATGCACATGAGTAAGATCTCAGTACATAGAAAAATAAAAATCAGACACATTTGGAAACTGTTGTTTAACTTACGGATGATAAGACATTGCTGGCAAGTTTTTGTTTTCGCTTTTACTTATAAAATGATATATTTTATTTTTCAGGCCCTAATATAATAATAACTCCTAGGTTGATTCTGAACTGTGTAAAACTCTATAGGGTATCGACCTGTCTGGACATGTTCACAGACTGGTAGTTTGAGAACACAGGAATCCTACTTACATAGGATCTAAGGAGTCTCTTGGGGGAAAACACATTCTAAGATGGACTGATGGACCATAAACTTATTCAGTAAAAAATCAAAATCTTGGTCTTTGTAAGGGAAGTATGTGATATATTAATCAGAATTATCTATCAGACTAGCCACCATGAACTTAGGGTTGCACAGTATGGTACGCTTAATGGAGAAAAAAAAATCCGAAAGCAATGGGGCAAAAATAAAATGTTTTCTGTACCAAGTGTTAGAAGCAACAGGAAACAGGCACTTTTCTCTTCATTTGTAATACTGGATTGTATAGATTTAGCTCCATGAAAGAATGCAGAGAATCTGCAATGTGGTGGCAGTGCCCAGTATATAGGAGAATCGGTGGTTACTCAGAAGTGATAGAGCAAACTATAATAACTTTGTTAAAAAGTGAGTACCTGGTATGTTCTCTAGTGATATCCAATAGGAGTGCAAATTATTCTTAGCACAGGGGCCCATGAGAGCTCAGGAATCTCTGATATTAACAGATGTGATCTCAAACAGAGAAAGATGAATAAAATCACAGATGCCAATGATAAATTACTTGAAGCATCTATAGTTGGCATAACCAATGTCACCCTTTTCTGGAGACAGTTCTGATTTATACCTGATGATTGACAGAATACTTATTCATGTGCCCCATTTCACTCCCCCAAATTTCCCATTTTGCTTATAAATTATATGGTAATCAATCTGATAAAGAGGGAAATTTGGAAACTGGAATGCCACCTTAGCGAGTTAAGGACAGAGCAAGATAAATGTAAATTGTGCTTTATGGAATTATTGTATCATATTGTATTATGCTGTAGTTAGAGTGATAAAAGATGTAAGGCCCTCTCAGTCTTGTGATTGATTGGTCAGTAAATCGGAGGCAAACATAAAACTGAATAAGAAACTCTATGGGTCCCGAACCCGCGGGGCCCTGCAGACCAGGAGGACGCAGAGTCCTCCCAGCAGGAGGTGATGGAGAGGGCCAGAGAGGACCTAGAAGAGTTTGAGTGCCTGGAACTGATCAAGTGTCAGATGCAGTTGGGGGTCTCTGAGGAAGAGGAGGGGGAGGCGGAGGAGGAGGAAGAAGAAGGGGAGGATGCGGGCCTGGTGGAGGAGGCCCAGGCAGTGGCTGCTGGCTGGATGCTCCATTTCCTCTGCCTCTCTCTTTGCCGCGCCTTCTGCAACCGCCCCTCGGAGGACTTCCACCAGACCCGCGACAGCGCCGAAGCCATAATTCATGGATCATCCAGTATTACAACTTATCAATTAAAAACTACATACATAGGTCAGTTTTTGACAAGAATTGCAGCAGGAAAATCCCTTGATGCACAGTTTGAAAATGATGAGCCAATTACACCCTTGCAATCAGCCCTGATGATTTGGGCTTCAATTGAAAAAGAACATGACAAACTTCATGAAGAAATAGAGAATTTAATTAAAATTGAGGCTATAGCTGTTTGTATAGAAAATGGCAGTTTTAAGGAAGAAGAAGTCTTTGAAAGAATATTTGGTGACGCAAATTCTCACACGCCTTTAGAAAGGAAATTGCTTAGGATAATCTCTCAGAAAGATACATTCCATTCTTTTTTTCAACAATGCAGCTACAACCACATGATGAAGAAAATTAAGAGTCATGTGAATCGTGTGCTTAACGAAAAATCATCAACTTTTCTAATGAAGGCAGCAGCAAAAGTAGTGGAAAGTGAAAAATCGAGAAAAATAACTTCTCAAGATGAACTTAATGGTAATGATATTGAAATGGAAACTGAAGTCAATTTGGATAAAGTAAAAAGGTCTCACAAGAGTCTCTTCATATCCAAATTGAAACATGGAAGCTGGCAGCAAGACTTTAATGAGAAAGAGGAGCGAGTAGGAACTCTTCAAAGTGGAAAGAAAAAAAAAAGAAAACAGAAGAGTCACTGAAAGCAAGAGAGTATATGTTTCAAAAAATCAACCCATAACTCCTAAAAAACAGCGACCTAGGAAAAGACAGGCATGGCTTTGGGAAGAAGACAAGAATTTGAGATCTGGTGTGAGGAAGTATGGAGAGGGAAACTGGCCTAAAAGACTATCACATTATAAATCCAACAACGTAACAAGTGTCATGTTAAAAGACAGATGGAGGACTATGAAGAAACTAAAATTGATTTGCTCAGACAGTGAAAACTGAATGTATTGGTTGAAGCTTGATAAAGGACAGTTAATTTTGATCACTACATTTTGTTTGAAATTTATTTGTAGTTGATGTATCTCAAAATTTTTGTTTAAAGCATTATTTTTAGTTTAGAAAAGATTTGTGCTATAGAGTAAAATTATATGCCTCATTTTGTTCTTCAAGAATTTTTTAATCTTGATAAAGCGTAAATATGTTAACCCCTAACAAATTCGGTACTCCACCCCCAAATCTCATTCCAATAAAAAAATGAAACCTGATGAGGAAAAAAGCAGTTTTTTTATTTACCTATTTCGTGTCTGTAAGGTACCCTCAGCCTCCTAAGACACAGCATGAAAATGAATTTTCTAACTAAGTGAACAGTAATAGTCCCTGTATATGAAACTTGATCTATGGCCTTAATATTCTACTTGATTACTACAGCATTTGTTAATAGAGTGAAAAATAAAGCTGTTTTTGTTTTCTTTTTTGATATTAAGGATTGAATCCAGGGGCAGTTAACTGCCAAGCCACATCCCCAGCTCCCCTCCACCTTTTTTTTTTTTTTCTAACTTTTGAGATAAGGTCTTGATAAGTAGTTCAGAGCCTTGCTAAATCTCTGAGGCTGGCTTTGAACTTGCAATCCTCCTGCCTTAGCATTCTGAGTCCTTGCAATCCTCCTGCCTTAGCATTCTGAGTCGCTGAAATTATAGGCATGTGCCACCACAGCAAGCTAAATAAAGCTTCTTTATAAGCTTCTTTATAATTCTTTATAAATATTGAGTTCTCTGGTATGCTTTGATTTAATATGTCAATATTGGACATAAATAGTATTCTGTAAATGCTTAAGTTTTATTAACCATGATCATCTTTACATAGTATTAATAAATAAGGTTAAACATACCTTACGAGACAATTTGAATTTTCATTAATTTATTTAGATGTCTTAGTCAAATATTAATAGAATTATTTAACATTTTGTGTTATGTGATTTGTTTAGCAAACAAGTATTGAAATATTGAGGTAGTTGTGTTAAAATCATATGTAATATTTTATGATCTTGTCCATTTCAAGATCATAAAAACTAAAAAAAAAGAATTTTATACTAAAAAAAAAGAAATTCTATAGTTGAATGATTATTTCACATGCAGGTCTGTGCTGATGTTCCTTCCTAGATTGGCTTCAGTTTTAGTACATTTCTATATTTGTACCTACTAAGGAAGACATTGAAATTTTCTGGAGTTGGAGGAAGAAAGAAAAATTAGATTCAATCTTGTTCATTGCAAAAAAAAAAAAAAGTCCTCTTAGCATCTGCATGGATTAGCTCTGGGAAAATCAGTTTGAAACTTTCTTGACTCGAGAAAAAGGAAGAGAGGATTTCAGAAACTCCAGATAAAATGGGAATTAGAAAAGAGTTCATTACTTTAGGTCCACGGATCTTTAGGAATCTAGGATCAAGACTAATTTTATATCTGAAAATAACTTCTTATTACATTAGCTTCCAGAATTAAAGGTGCATGTTATACCATGTCTGAGAATTCTTTATATTATAAATGAGGTTTCACTATAATCAGAATTGCATGTGGCATCTATCAATACTATCATGCATTAGACATTTTCTGTAAATACCAGAGAAATCCAATACTAAGACTTAGATTAGTTTTTCAACCTCAGTACTACTGATATTTGGGGCTTCATAGTTCTTTTGTTTAAGGGGCTCATCTATACATTGTAAGAATTGGGGCATCTTTCTTGGCCTCTATGTACAAAATAACAGTAATGTAAATTTTCTCTCCCAAAGCAATTTCTCTGGATGGTGCCATATTGCCCTAGGGTGGTAGAGGTGGTAGAGGACGAAGAGAAGAAGAAAATTGCCTCAGGTTGAGAAACATTGGCTTAGATAGAAAAATGTGAATTTCATAAAATGGGAACCCATTTACGTGTACTCATGGAAGCAAAATTTAGAAATTTCACACACAACCTCACTTGTGTAGACACAGCCTCACTGTCTGGGCTTAAAGCCAGAATTAGAATTAAGTATCTCCCAATTCCCTAAGACAATCAGGAAACACATTTTTCTACCTCCCTCTTCTCTACCCTGACACCATTTCTTTTGGACAATTAAACTACAGTACTTTAGTCTCCTTAGAGAAAAGCTGCTGTGTAAATGCAAAGTAATAACGGATAGTGGCTGGGAAAGTAAAATAAAAGAAACTATACTAAAAGGCTAACTATCTAAATTGAGAAGTCCAAGCTCATGAATGAATATTCATGGACATATTTTCATACTAATATACTAAAGTAATATCAGACTCCTGCTAGCAGATTAATTTAGAGCCAAAAGAGACATCTATTTTTTGAAGCTGGAGACATTGATCTTATGATGATGATCTATAACAATAACTGCATTTCTACAATAGAAGGTGAATGCTATAATCATTTTAAAATGATAAATGCTGATGGTGTGGTGGGTTGCATGTTTATTAATTTGATTTGCTTTAATGGAATTTTCCCCCTAAGGGTCCTGGTGGTAGGCAGCAAACTTATAATACATAAGAATGGTTGTTCTTACTATTACTTTTATCACAGAAAACATAATCGCTGAACTATACTTTAGCACCATCATGAATATTAAAATACTAATATTTTTCTGCCCAGTGGGAATTTGAAAGTTTAGTGATGAAATGCATGTTATGGAATGGAAAGTTTCATTGATTCCAGAGAGAAAGAAAAATGCAGTTACATGTCCCTGAAAAGAATAATCCTGTTTAATTAGTTGCTGTATTGTAGGCTTGATTTCACTGTGAAATGGGATAAGTAGTTAATTATACTACAAATTTATCTAGTTAATTTATTTGATATCTACCTGAGTTGAGTAGTTGATTTAAGACTAATATTTTAATCTTGATAAGAGTTAAGAACAAATAATATTTTTGAATGAAGGGTTGAAGGATTTCAGGAGTAATCTCCTGGGTTTACCAGTCTTTTGTCTCCCTACTATTCATCTGTTCTTTGTCTTGGCCACTAGACCTGACTTGATCACATAATAGTCCCTTTTCTTCATTTATCCATTTACCCATGCTAATCTTTTAGCTGGAAATACCTCAACCCAATTTTATTTAATTAATTTGTATTTTTACTTATTTATTGCTCTTCTGGGAATTTAACCCAAGGCCTTGCACAGAGTAGGCACCTTCTGTAACACTGGGGTACAGCCCTACTCCTTTTTATTTTGAGACAGGGTCTAAGTTTCCCAGACTGATTGTCTTTGCAATCCTCCTGCTTCATCCTCTTAAATAGCTAGAATTAGAGATGTGCACCATTACTCTTGGCCCCACCCATCTTTTATTAATCCTTTAAAATTTAGTACCCTCCTCTAGATTTTACCTCCTCTATTAAATTTTTCCTCTTCTCCTTTGAGTAAATTCAGTCTCTTCTCCAGTGGTTATCTCCTTTCTCTGTTCCATCACCTAGCTCACTGAAAGGAAATGTATCAATTCACCTATGTCCATGGCTCAAAACTCAAGCTTCTTAAGGGCAGGACACCCTCTCTGACTGACATTTGTTTGCTCAATAAATTCATGGAGCAAATGCCAAACAGATATTTGTTGAATAAATGATTGAAAAAAATGAATAAATTTAAATTACTTTATAATAGTTTATCACTTGTACAGCAGATATTGTAATGTGAAATTAACATATTTATTTACTTGTTTCTTATCTGTATTTCTTCTCCCCTACCTACACCACCTGTAGGTAACTGTACCTCTGAGTTTCTGAAGGAAAACATTGCCTGACTTTTGCTTCATCCCTATTTTTCATCTCACGTCTAGCAGTTGACAAAACTCATATATATATATATGAAGTAATTATCTTGTTGTAATTTTGCTAATCCTGTGGAATGGGCAGCTCATTTACACATAAACTAAAGCCATTTGATGCTTTTACAATACTAGGTACTTTGCAAATGATTTGTAAATAAACAAGATTGAACTGAGGTTTAGTCATGGATCTTCTGGTCTTCTGGATATAATTCTGAAAAAAGATACACTATAGGAGAAAATATATTTTTTGTTCCAAGATATTTGGCAATGAAGGACAAGAGAATGTATTTATGTTCAAGTAAAACAGTTCTTTGGTATAGGTGTGACCGGAGATGTTTGCAAGGGGAAGAAATTGATTGGTAAGAAGGGTTTGAATGAAAGAGGACATGGCTGATGATGAACTCGCAGATGGAGAGAAGGAATTAGCACAAAAACAAAGGTAAAGTTTTGAATCAGGAAAAGAAGATGGTAGATTTCAAGGGTGTCCTATTGTTAAATACCATAATTCTTGAACAGGGCTTACAGGGCTTTCCATTACCTAGCCTTGGTTTCCTTACTCTCATATCATAAACTTCATCCATGGCACTTTCTCTCAGTTCTGTTATGTCCTGAAGGCCTTCATTCATGCTCTTCTCATGAACCATAATCATCCTTTCTTTTCTCCTGTTCTGGTATCCAGTTCTTGCTGTAGGTGACATTCCCAGAATAATGTTTTGTGAAAATTTTTGTTGAATTGTAGTCAGATGAGAAAGAACAGAACATAGACTAATATACAGATATTATAAGGAGAGAAACTCAAATGCATTTTATATCAGGTATGCTATTTTTCTTTATGTTTTGCAGAGTTAAAATTTTCAGGAAAATAAAAAATTTGGCAACAGACAAGATGGAGAATTCAATAGAGAATAAATAAAGATTCACAGATTAGCCAACAAGTCATTTTTGTTTTAAATCTGAGAATACCAATCAAGTTCTTCAAGTTTTTCCTTGCCACATTAGGACACACATGATACAGAATTGACAGAAGAAATCTCTAAGCTACATAAGGGAATTAAGAGAATCACTTTCACAAAGTGAGCTCTTTTGAGTTACAAAATGTATCTATTTTTACTCTGATAATTACAAAGCTGTTGCTACATTTCTCAGTGGATTATATTCCATAAATCCTTACCTGCTGTGAACCATCAATGACTT